GTGGGGATATGGGCAATAAACAAGGGGATAAGTGAAATATGTGACAGGTGATCATATATGCTTTAGAGAAAAATAAAGCTGGGAACAGGGAGAGAAGGGGGCCGGGAGGACAGGGGTGCAGGTGATTTTAGCTAGGGAGTTCCAGGGAGGCCTCTCTGAGGACAGGTGACATTTAAGCAGTGACTGGTATGAACTGAAGGAGCCAGCCCCATGGGTGTCTGGGGAAGGGTCTTTGCACTGACTGTGCCCTTCCACCTGGAAAGCTTATCCCATGGGCATCTCTGAATCTTTCAGATCACGTCCCCAGAGTCGCTTCTGGACCACACTTTCTAAAATAGGTGTCCCCTTCCAACATATTCTCCACTCCAGCATCTTTCTTGGTTCCTTTGCAACAGTTGCCAGAATTTGTAAATATTTATTTTTTTGGCTTGTTTCCTGTCTCCCGTGTTGGACTGTGGGCACCCTGAGGGCAGGGACCATGGCTGTCAATCCAGTTAGGCCCCCAGCGGGGGGCACAGGTGGGCTCAGAGGGGCTTGCTGAATGAATGAAATGGTGGGCAGGCAGTGAGTCCTGGAGAATGGCAGCTTTGAAGGTGACCGGCACAAGTGTTTTCTGCATTTTCCGCTCTTCTGGATTTCTCCTGCTTTGAGGGTTATTTTTCTGTTTGGGTTATGGTTATTTTTCAGTTATCTGAAGTTGAAGGCCATGTAGGGCAGCAGTTAAGAGTGCAGAGGATGGAGTGCATAGGTTCAAATCCCAGCTATGCTGCTTGCTGGCTGTGTGGCCTCTCAGCTTCCTTAGCTGTAAAATGGGGCAAATCATCTTATTTAGAAGGCTGTTGTCAGGGTGGAGTGACTTGGTAAGTGTATTAGTCCAGTTATGTTGCTTATAACAAAATACCTGAAGCTGGGTGATTTATAAAGAAACACAACATTTATTGCTTACAGTTTCTGAGGCTGGGAAGTCCAAAGTCCATCTGGTGGTGGTGNCTCAACTGTTTTTTAAAGTCATACGCTTTACAGTGTTTTCATGGATCACATATGGATATAGTTTATTGTTTTTTTTCTGTGTGGCATAGTGGAAATAACATGCAAACAATTTAAAGTCAGACAAACCGAAGTGAGTATACCAGCTCTGCCACTAATTAGCTGCATGGCTCCTAACATGTCACTTCCCTTTTCTGAACCTCAGTTTTACCATCAGTAAAATGGGGCACACTTTTCAGGGCTAGGGTGAGGTTTCACACTAATGTTCATAAACCTTTAGCACATTTCCCAACAACTTCTCCACCTTCGCCATGTGCCCTCTTCCCTTCCCCACCTCATTCCAGCTGCGCTGACCTTTGGCTGGGTTTCCAGAGCAGGTCACTCTGCTCTCCTCAAGCTGACATTCTAGTGGGGATATGGGCAATAAACAAGGGGATAAGTGAAATATGTGACAGGTGATCATATATGC